CTCCAGATATTTCTAATATCTTTTGGGGGAGGAGATCAAAATTGTTTCGGTTGAGAATCATTGGGCCTATAGCTATCATTTATTACTTTCAGTATAATTATTACAAATATTCATTTTTTTAACTTTTGCTAAAATATCACAATTCTAGTTGTCGTAATTCACCACCCAGAGGGTAAAAAATTGTTTATGTGTTATGCACCTGTTAATCAACATGGAACTTTAGGCAAGTCTATGCTGAATTAGACTCTGTAGGCTCATTCATTGGTTTTGGCTTTCATAATGGCAAAAGAACTAATATATTTTTCATTTGGTTGAGCCAGTTTAGTTCTTAAAGTGTCAACAAATTATTGTAATAGGGCAAATTGAGAAAATAATCCTAAAGTGGATTTTTTTTTCACGTTTTGATTTTAGAATGTAGGGTGGAGAACAAATACAAAATGTGAAACATGAGTCACATAACTTAGTTATTTTTCAATTTTATAGTAATTGTTTATTCTCTAGATATTTCAAATTTGTTTTTATTCATTGTTGAAAAATAAACAATTATCTAATAAATTTTTGTCCTGCAGAAATTCTTTGGGATAAACTATGTGTTCAAAAGGCATTCCACATTATCTATAATTCTCAGGTTTAGGTTTTTGATCATTTAAAGAAATACTTATATTCTGAAACTCTCATATTCTGTGTTCTGACTATCCTTGGGACCACTTCATAACACAGAAAATTCTATAGATATGAATAAATACATCTTAGAAATGTAAGGTTATTTAAAATAATAATACAGGCTTGGTAGTCAGAAGGTAATTCTCCTAGAGCCTTTACACGGGAGCATTCACCAGCAATTGAGAAGCACTTAACTGAAAGATAAGAGAAAAGATAAGAGAAAAATAAAATCTATGTTTCTAATTCTTAGTATCTTTAACTTCAACCCTTCCTTAACCAGTCAGCTCACAAATTGTTCTGAGAGGGATTATTTCACATATAGGATAAATGTTCAACTTACATCTGCATTGTTATTTGAGGTTCTTGTTGTTTTTCATAAACACAATTGGGTAGCTAATTGTTGTAGCATGATTCTAATTCAATTGCACATGCACTTTTAGGTTCTCCGGAAGTCTTCTGAGCTCTGTGAATAATGTAAAGCAAATATCTTTCTTTATCTCTTTGTATACTCTACAGATTTTACCATAAGATCCATCTCTAGAGGCTCTTTTTTCATACTTATCCTTACTCTGTGTATATGGACCTAGTATTCACTAAAAACAGAAAATAAATTTTGTTATGCTGCATTTTTCAGACTTAGGCTACATTTTATAAGGTTCAGTATGAACTACTCCCCAAATATAGATACTCTTTACTGGATATTTTAAGCAAAATTTGAAAAAACATCTTGCATAGGAACAACTTTCTTACCTTCCTTCAAAGAAGGAAGTAGTCATAAGACTATTATAGGAATAGTCATAAGACTATTCTGTAAGAGAGCTTTTTCCTGTTCCCAGAGGAAAGGAATAGCCACGTTAAGGTTTAGATATGAGGTGTCTCCTAAAAACTTCTCTTAATTCAGGTATATTCAAAGGTACAAAGATTAGAATATGAGAGCTGTAACCAAATCAGTCCTTCCTAGTTTGAATGCACTGACTGGTTAGTAACTGTCGAAGGCAGGGTGTGGTTAAAGGAGATGGGTCAGTGGTAGTGTGCCCTGACAGGGTGAATATTTGCTGTGCTCTTCCTCCACCTCTCCCTTTTTTTCTCTCTCTGCTTCTGGCTGCCAAGGAGGAGAGCAGCTTCACTTTGGTGGTTCCTTTTCTCATGATGTGCTACTTTACCTTAGGCTCAGAATAATGGACAGGATATTTGTGGACTCAGACCTCAGAAACTGTTCCAAATAAACTTTTACTCCTCTAATTTGTTCTTGTCAGGTAATTTTTCCACAAGGGTGCAAAGTTGACTAAAACAGAAATTGGCATTGAGAAATGTGGTCATTGCTGTGACTTGCTTGACCATGTGGTTCAAAAACCTTTGGGAATGGATTGTAGGAGAAATTTTAAAAAGTTTAGAGAGGCAAACTGGAGTAGTTTTAGAATGTTGTAAATGGAGCTTAATGGGTGATTCTGGTGGGAAATCAGAAGACCAGAATGCTGATAGAACTGTGGGCAATAATGACTGGACTCATGAAGTTTCAGAAGGAAATAAATACTCTTTTAGGAACTGAACTGGAGGCAACTCATGTTCTCTAAAAGAACTTGGTTACATTTCACCCATGTCCTGAGAGTTTGTGTGAGGCTAAATTTAAAAGTAACGGACTAATTAATCTGTCAGAGGAAATTTCAAGGCAGCACAGCTTTCAATAAGGGGTATGGATATTGCTTGCAGCTTTTACCCTGATTTATTGTGAGAGTTGGAAGCAGAAAATAGAGCTAACCAATTTTAAAAACTTGCAGTTTGGCTAGAAAAGTTCATATAAAGCTCAGAATCAAGAAAGGTGCACTTGTGGAGAGATTACAGCCCCTAAAGAGATAGTAAGCATTTTACATAGAGACAACAGGAAAAATGGCTTGAGGTCATCTAAGGAATTTACAAAACCATACCCACTCTCGACTCAAAAATATGGATAAGAAAAATTCCTTTGAAAAGGAACCATGGGGGATCTAGGAAGTTGTTTTACCACACTGAACCACACAGGCATTGAGAATACACAGTGGACATGGTTACAGGGGGACCAGGTATTGCAAGAATTGACAGCAGACTTTGGCATTGTTCATGTGGTGCTCATTCTGTAAGAATTCAGGATACTTGAGTTATAAGTTAGTGGAAGAGTTCCACCAAGTTTTCAAAGGAAGACCTGGGAGACCATGCAAAATATAGCAGGGTCAAATTCTCTGTGGGCTGCTCCTGAGAGGGTAATGTACAAAGCCATGAATGTGAACCCTAAGCTGGAATGGAGACCCCAGGAATAAAGAAATGAACATAATATAGACTATCTGTCAAGGAAAACTGCTGGTCACAGAGAAAGCCAGGCTAAAGAAGAGCCCACGTGTTCTTCAACTGGCAAAGCCAGAGGGTTGAGATATTCCAAGCTCTTTGGGGAGCACATCCTGTGACCATGATGTGTCCTATGGGTAGACTTAACACAGATTTGCCAGAATTGTTTGCCCAGCTGAGTTTTGGTCATCCTGTGGCCCCATCCATTCTTTCCATGCCTCCATTTCTTCCTTTTTAAATGGTAGCGTTTACTCTGTGCCACTGCAAACTGGATAGGAGTGACTTGCTTTTGATTTTAATAGGGGCTCATAGCCAAGAGTTTGCCCTGAGTATCAGAAGAGTTTGAACTTGGAAATTTGGGCCATTTTGAGAATGCTAAGATGATGGGACTCTCGGAGATAATGAAATGTAATTTGCATTGTCATATGGAATGAATTTTGGAGGCCAGGGCCTGTGTTATAATTTGGATAGGAGGTGTCCCCAAAAAGCTCCTGTTAATGTAGGTGTATTCAGAGATAATATGATTAGAATATGAGAGCTGTAACCTAATCAGTCCTTTCTAGTTTGCATAGACTGAGTGGTAACTATAGGCAGGTGTGGCGTGCCTGGAGGAGGTGGGTCAGTGGTGCTGTACCCTAGAAGGGTGCATCTGCCCTTGCACACTCTCTTTCTCACTGCCTTCTGACCAGGGTCATGAGTTTAGGAGCTTTCCTTTGCCATCTACTTCCCCCAAGATGTGGTGCCTCATCTTGGCCCAGAGCAATGAAATCAGTCATCTGTGGACAGCACTGGAAACTGAGATCCCCAAATGAACTTTTTCTCATCTAAATTGTTCTTTTCCGGTATTTTGGTCACAGCAGTGAAAAGCTAATTTAAAAAATCTATGTCCGTGGAGACAGAGGAGCACTTAGAGAAATCTGAACAAACAGGCCTCCTGGGTTTCCCCTAGTTTATTACACTTAGTTGCCCCTTTTCTGATTATAGTTGCCCACTTCTCTAATTTTCATCAAACACAGCACAACAGCACTCAGATTTAACTACTTCTTTGGGTCTTCACTTCTGGTGAAACCTCTCACATCATATAAAATTTATATTAAGCAAATGTGCTTCTTTTCTTAGTCTGCCTTTTTAAGTAGAGGTCCCAGCTGAGAATTTAGAAGAGTAAAATATATATATTTTTCCCCTAAGGAAATTAAATTATTACAAAGTACATTATTCTTTGGTATAAGAACAAAACACCTAGTTTTCATAGAAATAAATGGCACAAAGCACATCTCAAATGGAATCTGTTCCATATAGAATTTCCTGAACCCCAAAATAATATTTCTTTTTTTAACCTAAAAGCTTTTATGACCATTGTGCCTTTATAATCATAGATTTTTAAAAAATAATTTGCCTTTTATTGTACAGATTCATATGGTCCTAATTTGTTTTTCCCAAACTACAAGCTCTTTCAAGAGACATTTCAGAGTTACTTTACCTTACATATTATTTCATTTACTATGATGAGATGAAAATATGACCCCAGAAATTGGTGTTTAATGCAATGGCAAGAATTTTTATAGTAACCAATCTGCAGTTTGGGTAGGCCTCAGTGGGGATAGCTTATTTTTATTCTCCTTCAGTGTCAGCAGGGCCAGCTGTATGTATGTGTTCTAAAATCATCTGAAGTCTTGCTCACTTATATAAGGGCTATGTGATACTGGCTATTGTCTGAGACCTTAGTTGATACGTTTGACCAGAAAATGTAGTACTTTCCCAAGTGGTCTATGCTTTACAGAACATAGTGAGTGAGTCTTCAGAGTGACACATTGATTTAATGGATTGCAAAGAATTGTAGGCAACCTCTGATGCAAAGCATGGTCCACAGATAGCATATAAAGCTTCATAATCACCATATGCACTTCTATGCTACATTGGCAATTCCTAGGCAAGTTATTACTGTTCTAACAAACTTATCAGTTTAATTAAAATGTCTTAGATCCCTTTCTCCAAAACCACTATTCTCTCTATTCTGCAACCGGGCACTTATTCATTTCTTTAAAAGCTTCTCTACAATAGCTCAGTTTTGTTTCTTATAGTTTGATTTGGAAAATATTTTCTCATTCCTTTCTCCTTGATCTTTTCCCCAGTGCTGGCACTTCATTTAAAGCATCAAAGAGATTATCAAGTCTTTGTTAAAATAATGAAAGAAGTAAATTTTGGATTTTGCATTGGCTGCTTTATCAGGTGAAGTAAAGGGCATAAACATACATGATGACTTCTGTTGATAGAAATGAAAAATTCTAGGAGTTGAACTTTGGTGGGGAAGAAATCCTAGGGCATAAAACTATGAATGAATGAATGAATGGACAATTATCCTCAAACAAAAATTTGGCTAAAATATCCAATAAAATCTAAAAAAAGACCTTTCACTTTGTAACTCAGAAAGGATTAACAATTCTTGCCTATAAACTATTCATACTCTCTGTTGACAATTTAAGACATTGTTTAATGTTTACTATATATCAGTTCCACTAGACAATTAGCTCTTCCGTGCTTGGGATATGATTTGATTGTGTTCTTCAAAGTTTCATGTGCTGGAAGCTGTGTCCCTAGTGTGGCAGTTTTTAGGCAGTAGGATGCACAGAAATGGAGGCAAATGGAAGGCCACTAATTCATGGGGACACTGTCCTCAAAAGTGGTTAGTGATGGTCTCATGGAGTGAATTAGTTCCTGTAAGAGTGAGTTATAATGAGACTTTTCCCTTCTTGATCTTTAGCTTCCTCTTTTACTATGTGATCTCTTCCTTTTCATGTGCTCCCACCATGATACCATCTTCCAACTTGTGATTCTACCAGAAAACCTTCACCAGAGGCTGAACCAATGAGGATACCCAATCTTGGGCTTTTAGCTTCCAAAACTGTGAGCTAAATAAATATCATTTTTTTTTCTAAAAAGTACCTAGCCTTAAGTTTTTTTTTTAAACAGGCAAACAAAACAGACTAAAATAAGCTCTGTGAGAACACTATTCAATTATTTGATTGTAAAAAGGAAGTTTTTGTAAAAATACTGAATGATAAGAGTTATTTATCAAAATATATTTTATAAACATACACAATTGCTTTATGAAACGGTTTGATAATACCAACATAACTTTGAAACAGGTACAGAAAAAGCCAATCGTTTGCTCTTTTTCTCAACCATTACAGTCACCCAAGTCTCTAACAAGGCAGAATATTAAGTAAAATAGTTTGTCACCTAATGTTAAGACACAAAGATAAAGTTTTTCACGAATTACAAGAAAAAAGTCAAGAGGAGAAAGAAAAAGCGAATATAATGAGAATGTAAGTATCCAAGAAATATTGACTGTCTATTGTGATTTATGTAATGAAATTAAAAAGTTGAAAGCCAATTTGAAAGCATTTCAAAGTAATATCATGGAAATTAATTTGAAGGATACATTTAATGTTTTGAATTAGAACCTGTCAAGCCTGTCATGAATTTTAACTGAGTTAAAAAAAAAAAAAGCATTCTGATGCATATTGTATGGATGTTAGAATTTTAAATACCACAGAACTACTCAAGAAATGATGATACAATAGAAATCAATTACCTGGCAATAATAAAGTATTTCAGTTGAAATCATGATGAACACCAAAGGAAATATTTTGATGTATTTAAATAATGAAGTCTATTGTTTAAAAAAAGCTGGTAAGTAATGCCAGGTAAGCTTTAGAATATTTTTTTTCTGATTTTAATTCCATTTTGTTTTTCTCAACTTTCTATTAATGCACACTTACAAGTTTACATACCTTGAAATTAAAGATCAGTAAATTATTACAAAGTGAACACCTTGATACCAACAATATCCAGTTCATAAAAGGGAATACTGTCAACATACAACTCATCATTATCTTCTTTCTATGTTTTCCTGCCCCCAAACTAACAACTCTCTGGAATGATAAAGGCATACATTATTTGGCCTATTTTTGCATATTGTGCTAATGGGAAAACAAAAATAGTTTTGTTTTTTGTACATTTCTTTTTTTTGTAACTGACTTTTTTTAACAAAGATTCATATTCTCCAAATAGCTATGGATTGATATTGATAATTTTCATTGAGCATAATATTATTTCAAATAACTAGTTCACAATTTATTTATCTCTCCTATTATTAATGATCGTTTGAGTAGTTTTGATTTGGTGCTATTAAAAGTATTGCTTTTGTGAGCATTCTAATACATGTCTTTGGAGAGTATATTCTAACATCAAGTACTTTTTTGCATACACAGTATAAATCATCATGGAAAATTATAAAATCAATGTTAACTATATTAGTTATAAGTGTAAATATGCCTTTCTCAAGACTTCTATTTATTAAAGCAAGATACCTAAGATTAAACCTATATAGCGAGAGTCCAGGAAAAGTCAAGTATGGAACTTGGTGCTTTAAATACTTTATCTCTTTATTACTGATATATATTTTTGAAATATGTATTTATATTACCATTTTACATATGAGAAAACTAAAAATATTAGGCAGAGTAGCAAACTTAAAATTCTTTAGTTAATATGTTATAAAGAGGTTATCACTCTCCTATGGTAAAAATAGTTATATCTAACACAGGATTGGTTGACAAAATGAAGGGAGGGAGATAATAGATCTAAGAAGGGGATAGGCACCATAGACAACTAGTAGTGTGGGAAACACTTTAGGTTATATTTAGACATATTTTACAACAAATAAATATATTCAGGTTTATTTTCTTTTAGAATCACAGGAACTGAGGTATTGTTAAATTGACTCTTAGAATCAATCATTGAGGACAGATCCTGAGAGTGCTATTTCTCTGTCATTTCCTGCCTGGTGTGTCTATGGGCAGAAAGCATTCTGGATGAGCCCTTGCACAAAGATAAAATGAGAGAAGCTTGAAATCAATTGATAGGCATTTAAAAGATAAAGACAGAAAATTATGAGTGGGGCAACAAGAACTTCTTTGACAGTCTATCCCTGACCAGTCATCTCTTCCCAGGTGAAGTTCACTCAGTACCATCCCTATTTCTTCATGTGGTCACCAGTCACCATCTTATTATAAAACAATATAATAAAAGGAGAATGCTGCTGTTCATTCTGAAGCCACACTTGGTAATTTGCATCTCATCACTTCTAACTCCAATTCAGTGTTCCCTTTACTCTCAACCAGCTTTTTTGCTACTATGTCTTGCTTGCAAATTGGGTAAATGTAAACCTTGATCATTCAGGGATTTGTGTCCCCAAATAGTATATCCTTGCTAGCCCATGCTTGTTATAATTACCTACTGATGGATATCACTCAAAGTAGTAGCACCAGGAGACCCCACAAAGAATATATTGAAGTCTACACAAAAATTTTCCCACTTCCATCAGGTGGCAGAAATTCTAGCACCTCATGATAATCAGGTTCTATTTTTACTGTCCGTGGAATAACACTTGTTTGTTTTGTTTGCTGGTCTTCTGGCAAGAGAAGCCCAAAGTGGTCAGGTATCAGTCTAACAATTAAGTTTTGTGGAACTTTTACTGTGCACATATTACTAGAGTTTCCAATAGAAACCAGGGCCTCTGGTCTAATAGAATAAGCTTGAAGTTGTAGGCACAGGAGTTATAAGTTCCCTATACATACCTCTGGAAGTGCAGTGAGAACCTCTGTTTCCAAGATTTATTTATAGTATTGGACCTGTAATAATATATAAATGTCATATATTCCATATCTTGTATGACAGGATTCAATGAATGTTTATCATTTCTAAGGAGATACATCAGCTATGCCTTTATGAAGCTATTTTAGCATTTTATTAATCTGGAAGCTTCTGAGTGATATAGTCTATGTGGGACAAAAGGGTCCCATGCCCACATTTTTTTCCTGTATAATGGGTTCCTTGACCCAAGGGAAGATGATATGGGATCTAATGGTAATGAATTGGTCCTTCTGTGAGACCTGAACACAAGATTGCTTTAACATTCTCCTCTGCTTACTTATACTTCTCACAGTTAAGTTTGTTCCTGAATATTGTCTCCTTTATTTTCTTAGAGCTTTTAATGAGGAAACTTAAAAATTATTTTTCTCCCTCTTTGGGATCTAAATCTTCTCCAGCCTCATTCCAGTTTTATAATCCAGAACTGTCTTGCTCAGGGTCCTGGGGAATCATCCCTTTGAAGATTAATCATCAAGAAAGATAGTGCCCCATCTCCCACTCTCTGTTAGAATGTAGAAGCCTAACTTTAATAAGCTAAGCATCATTCAGCAAAGACAGATGACTTGATCGACCTGACCAACCTCCCCTCCAAGATTTTCTAGTACTTGCCCACTAGTCCACTGAGTGCTTAAAATCTCTTGCTTTAGTGGAGTTGAGTTCAGTCTCTTTCATCTCTTGTACTAGGCTTGAATAAAGTCTTCCTGAATCTTTAACTTGTCCTATGAAACTTTTCTTTGATTGCCTACATAAAAGTGATATTGTCTAAGGCACTGAGGAGGGGAGACACATGTACCTGAAAAATGTGAGAGTCTCAGTAAGAATGACTTATACTCTCACCACAGAAGGGTGTTAGTGTTGTCAGCTAATCAAAAGGTACTTGATTTGTTCTACTAGGGATTTTATTTCACGTTTATTAATCAGGATCTAGTGAGGACAGAAGAATCATATCAGCAATTGAAACAGGAGAATTTTAGTATAAAATGCTTTTTAACAACCAAAAGATATAAAAGAAAACTTGTCACTCCATGTAGGACAGAGAGTGAACAATAAGCAACAAAGAACTTAGAAGAGACACAATGTTTCCCCCAACAAGATGAGACTCTGACCTTATTGGATTAAGTATGGCTACCACACAGATTTACAGAAGGTCAGTGGAGAAGAAATTTGCCAGAAAGTGTGGGCTTGGCTTGTTGGGTAAGAAAGTCTTATAGGGTATTCAAGAAATTCCTGAAAAATATTTTCCACCACATCTCTTACACACTGGTTTACTGGTAGCTACATTATAGGATGTAAAAATACACCAGTACTTATAAGAGAAGCCCCTTACTCTTTCTATAACATTACAGTGCCTTTTCAATCCCCACTGTGACAAAAGTTTAACATTGCCTCAAATAACAAAAGAAATGTTCATAGGATTAAATGTTAGTATCAGAGAGCATGGAAAAGAAAGGTAAACTAGAGCTTGTAGACAATAAATTAATAACCAGTATGATGTCAAAGAAGAGGCATCTATCTTGAAACTGGTCACAAATTCAGTAGTGGTGCCGGCAGCATTATTCTTAGTGAGAAGTCTCCCATGTTGAAAATCATGGATTTTCAAGAAGATATATCACCTATGCCTTTACAAAGTATTTTAGCATTCCATTAATCTGGCAGATTAATTAATGCAGAGCCTCCTTTTCTCCCATCCTGGCAAATCCATTCATGGAATTATTATGCAAGAGATGAGTGACAGAATTCTGAGGGTTCTCACCACTATTGTGTGAGACTTTCTGTCCTAGTTGTCAACGTTTTCTCTGCCATGAATGTTCTTGGTGGATACTGACATGACATATAAAGATTGTCATACTTTATTCACTTTTTCATAGAGCAATCTATGTACTTTTCCTTGAATCTCTTCTCATAGCCATGCTCTGGACAGAATTTATTATTTGCTTATTTCAAGCATCTTCTACATTAAATTAATGGCCTGAAGCTTTGGTCAAAGCTTCTGACTACAGGAAAATATTCTCTCTTACTGTCTTTCGAGGCCACTCCTATTTTTGCTTTGTTTTGTTTTGTTTTGGCTAACACCAATATATTGGCTTAGAGTAACTAATCTCTCCATCAATCTGGGTTAACTGGATGAGAGCATCCCACAGAAGCCATAGCAGTGAGCTGAGGGACATATGTTGGAACAACAGGATTAGGTAACTTGGAGTCTGGATCATCTCTATTTATAACTTGCTTGTGTTCTCTGTATTGTTGAAGGTCTAATTTTGAATGTCATTTCCATCAAATTATGAATTTATCTCATGCCTATAAAACTTAATTACTTGCTGTGTTGGTGATTTCCAGATTATGATTAGTAGGACCAGTGTAGTCTCATTTTTTTCCTTTCCAAAACTCTAACTTCAGTTTAGAAGGCTTTCCACGGTATGACGTTAGCATTCCTTACACCTTTATTATTCTCTCCTTCAGATCCTAGATCAAGTTTTCTGTACATTGTGTCTTTTGATTGCAGGACTTGAGAATATCTTTGATAAAGTCACAGAGGCTTATGTCCTGCATAGTTATACCCTGAATTGAGAATGTTATCAGTTAATTTTTTATTGCTTCATGACTAAATAATTCCATAGTTTCTATGATATTTGTACTCATATTTTTAGAGATATTTCATGAATCATTATCTTCCATTCCATTTGCGTCCCAATTCAACATACATCAGAATCTTGGTTATTGTGAGGCTACAGAGCTTAATGGGTATCATTATCCCACTTACTAAAACTATAATGGGGTTTTAGAACTGTATGGCCACTGAGTGATTTAATTTTGGCACATTATCCTGAAGATATTACACTTTCTGCTGGTGTAATATCCTGAAGATATTACACTTTCTGGTGGTGCTGAAGATATGCTTTCTTAAGGCTCTTTAGCAAAATCAAACAAATGATAACAAAAAACCCTAAAAAGCAAAACAAAAATGAAATTAAAAACTTGGCAATCATCAAGAATACAGGTAACAATAAATGTTGGCAAGGCTGTGGGGAAAAAAAGTACATTTATACGTTGATAGTGGGACTGCAAATTGGTGCAACCACTATGAAAAGCAGTATGGAGATTCCTCAGAAAACTTGGAATGAAACCACCATTTGACCCAGCTAGCCCACTCCTTGGTTTATTCCCAAAGGATTTAAAATCAGCATACTACAGTAATGCAGCCACATCAATGTTTATAGCAGCTCAATTCACAACAACTAAACTATGGAACCAACCTAGGTGTCCTTCAATAGAAGAATGGATAAAGGAAATGTGGTATATATACTCAATATTACTCAGCTTTAAAGAATAGAGAAATTATAGCATTTGCCAATAAAAGGATGGATTTAGAGAATATCATGCTAAGTGAAATAAGCCAATCTCAAAAAACCAAAGGCCGAATGTTTTCTCTAATATGCGGATGTTAATTCACAATAAGGCAGGGAGCACTAGAGAAGAATAGTGTTACCTTAGATTAGGTAGAGGGAAGTGATGGGAGGGGAGGGGAGGGGATGTGGGGATAGGAAAGATAGAATGAAACAGACATTATTACTGTATGTATATATGTGACGGCATGACTATTATGATTCTACAACATGTACGCTCAGAAAAATGAGAAATTATATCCCATCTATGTGTTATATAACAAAGTGCATAAATGCATTCTATTGTCAAGTATAACTAATTAGAACGAATAAATTAATTAATTTTTAAAACTATCTTAATTTTGTTTCCCTAAGATGTCTTAGAAAATTATTCACATGTCAATAGTTTATTATGAGGAACTTCAGAAAATATAGCTAATGGGATAGGATATTTATATATGGAGATAAAGAAGACATTGAAGGGTACATGATCAAGCACATTTCCTTTTTAGGCAACTGGAGTCTATGCTACCTGAAGATATCTCAGTCATCCTCCTTGAGAATTGAGGGAGTTAGAGTACTTATATATCAACCTATATTGGTTAAGGTTAAAGGCTTTTTTGGGTGAGTAATTAATTCTCTATGACACTCAGTCAGCCTGCACAAAAGCAGGTTGAGCTTCAACAATCATAGATCAAAGAGATTCAGATTCTAGCCATTCAAAGTCCACAGAAATACACCAATATTTCAGGCAGAAAAGATGCAGGCTGAGAAAGAGCTGCATTTGCTATCCTATACTATTGCTGAAACTGTTATCTTAATAAGTTAGTATTTGTAGAAATAATAATATCACAAATAATACTATACTAGGATAATAATTTAGGAAAAATAAAGACATATATTCTTAAAATCACACAAGAATATGGTATTACTGTATATTTCCTATCATCAGACTAGTTGAAAGCTATGGATTAATAATCAAATTCTTATCAGTCAAAAACAATTTTAATTATGATTATGAAGATAAGCTCCTTGAAGAGAAAGACTAGATCTACCTCAAACAATAAAGACTGATCAGCCAGCATATTAGAATTTGGTACACAGTAGATGTTCAGTGAGTACTTGTTGAACATATGAATCTTGAGAGTAGCTCCATGTACTCTGATGGTAGACCTCACTGGGTATGAGACGTTTATATCTGAGCCATAAGTCAATCAATAACAAGTAATAATTCTCAATTAGACAACATAAACAAATCCCAGAATTCAGAATTCTTCTTCTTCTACTGTTGCTGAAAAACAAAAACAGTAGTTGTTTTTCAGCAACAGTAGAAGAAGAATAAAACAAATGGAAGAAAGAGGAAGAGGATCATGAGAACAAACTGCGTATTATCTTCACTAAAATGAGGCTCCTACCTGCATAGTTCATAGTGTTCAAAGAGTAACTACAAACACAATAAATATGGGAGAAAAAAGGGGGGGTTATTAATTAGGCTAGAATGTCATTGCTGTCTTTTTGTGAACCCACTTGTTATTTGATTAGATTGTGAAATAATTCTTTTGTCTTATACTATTTTATGCTGGTGCAAAAGTTCTTGAGAATTATAAAATAGCTTTTACTAACTGCAGAATTATTTTCAGAATAATTTGTTTTCATTTCTAGAAAAGAAATTCTGTTAAGCATTCCCAATTAATGATTCAATTGTCATCATTGGCTAAATTCGCCAGTTGTAATGATATTAGCATAAAGGCTTACGACATTTTATGAAACATTAATAATCTGTGACTATGTAAAGGTGGGGCTGGGAGATAAAAGCCAATATCCTTTTCCATTTCACTTGTGTAACTACTTTACAAGGTTTCAATTAGATCTATCTTTTTTACCCCTGAGAGAAGCTAACCAACGTATTGCATTAATTATGGTTCCCAGAGACAGGATCACGGCAGCCAAAATGATAAAATTACAATTCTTGCAGTTGGGCAGGCTGTACTTTCTCATTCTATGTTCCTTCCTGCAGAGTTGGAATGCAGCTTTCCAGCCCATGTCTTCAGAGGAAGCGTAAATGTAGGAATATGACTGAAGACTCTGCGGAGCAGGATAAAGGGAGGCGAGGAAGCCACTAAATGCTTTTGAAATACACGTTGGATATGGCTTCTGATAATTACAGTGAGAGATTCTTTAACCTGCTGAATGCCATTTAATGGCACACTTCTTTATTTGTTTACACATATGAATGCATGCTTACACACATGCACATCAGAGTGGTAAAGCACGGTATCTGTATGCATATATAATTGTATTGTGTATGGTATGTGGGTAAGCTAGTAGGAAAGGAATGGAAACCATCAGCCCAAAGAACTGTCCTAGATCATAATACAGCAATTTGAAAATAGAATGGATTGATGTGGTCATTTATTATTTCCATCAATATCTTTTTAATCCAACGATGAATCCAATGACTCCCCTGAAAATATATCATGCCAACAATGCACTTTTGACAAAGGCAATCACCAGTGCAAATGTTCACATTATTTTAAGAGCTATGGTCTGTAGAAGAGAAAAACCAGGGATAAGAATCTTATATCTTTTTTTTTTATAAGAGTAGCATTTTAGAGGGAACTGTCACACATTTTCTAAATCTGAGAAATAAGATTTGCTAGAAATTTCTATACCTCAGAATATTGTCTAAGAGCATGATTAAATTTTAAAAATAGAATTTATCAAGTGATCCTGGTCCACTTAGGTGACTAATGTGATAAATCAAAAGCACTTGCAGGCAGCATTAACAAGTAGTGGAATGATTTTATATGTTCAAAAAGAATGGTTGTTTTTGATTAAATAAAACTTAAAAAGTAACGTACACTCAATTAGAAGTTGTAATATGCAATACACAGATTAAATAGCATTAAATTTAATTTGATAATGCAATGCAATGCTTTCTAAAATAAAAACTTGCAGAATAAATCACATTTATAGTGTGAATAAATTAAGAAATAAGTGGCTGAAAGAGTAGGTTAATTAAAATTAGTGCATTTTTTGAACTGGGAAACCAAATAACTTGACAGGCTAATATATGAGAGGTTGGCAGTTATTTCAGCCAAAATATTCAAAAGAGATGGTAGGCCAACTGACATGACCCCAATAGACTTTATTTTTAACCCATTAAGTCTCAAATTTCATGTCTATTTCTACATAATTGACACAGCTGTATTAGAATAGGTTGAAAATAATAATCCAGAGGATGGAGGTATATATATACATATTTGTATATAATATAAATTTATATTAATTGATACTAAAATGTAATTATAATTATATTCTTTTAATATTATATAGTTATGCTATATATTATTTACTATATTTAAGATTTTATAGGTGTTTCACATTTGGGAATATGGGACAAATTGGGTTGAGGTCTTTATACCATGTCATAGGACTCATATTATCTCTTTTTGAAAGGTTTTTAATCACATGATGAACATTGTAAAGACTAAATTGTAATTGCATACATTTTTGAGAACTTGGCAAGTTATTTACCTTCTCCATGTTATTTATCTCATTTATAAAATAGATATTATAAATAAATATATATATATTATATTATATATATAATAGAGATTATAATCATACCCATCTCCTGGGTTATTTCAAAGATCAAATTAAGTGAAATATAAACTAGAACATTGTTTATAACTAAGTTGGTACCTTTGTTGTGACAGGGTGTAACCTACACTGAAGGCATTTTAGATGCAGAGCAAAGTTGAGGTCACAGAATATTGTACAATTGGTTTTATTTTACATTGTTTGGGTTTAAAACAGCTTGGGAAACGGTTAAATAGATTACAGCTAAGTACACAATGCCAATCTAATCAAAGAGGCTGCCAAACTAAGCTTCCATTTCTTTCTTTTTTTAACCCTATATCTATATGAAAAATATTCTTTTCAGTTTCTTTTGAGAAGCTTTTCTATTGTTGGCACACTTTTTACAAATGAGATTTGGGTTAAGGGGAAAAAATTAACAAGAGTTCCCAGAGAAAATCAATCCTTCCTTCCTTC